CTGAGTACATGTGTGTGAATGAAAGGGAGGGAAGTGGAACAGTAAGATTACAGGGTGAAGAGGTGAAGAAGGTACAGGAGTTTAAGTACTTGGGGTCAACAGTCCAGAGTAATGGAGAGTGTGAGAAAGAGGTAAAGAAGCGAGTGCAGGCAGGTTGGAATGGGTGGAGAAAGGTGTCGGGAGTTCTGTGTGATAGAAACATATAAGGGAGAATCAAGGGGAAGGTGTACAAGACAGTGGTGAGACCGGCAGTAAAATACACAAACAGCCGGGCCACTCACTCGAGGTGAAGTACGTATTGCCTCACCTGGTTTATTTAAGTAAAGTAAATCAATCAGCCTACAACACTGCTTTTCATGAATGGGATTTTTTTTTTTTTTTTTTTAAGAACAAAAGGTTGGCAGTTTATTCTCAAAACAGCTGCCTCTGATTGCTTCTGGATGGTGGTCCTTCTTGACAGACCTGGAGGGGGTGGGAATATAAAATAGATTATATACTATATTTCAAGCTTGTTATGCAAATAAGTTTGGATTGTTAACAGATCAACTAATATTTGTTTTAAAAATGCTATCAGCATAAAATGATTACATTTATTAGGTAATAGGGCTTAATAACACATGGAACGTGTAATATATTTTGAACTCAGGGGAACACGGTTGCGCTCAGTGGGAACAGTGAAGTTGCGCTTTAGCCTGCTGGATTGCTGGCAGGTCCGGAGTCAGTTTTGTGGTTGAGATGCGAAGGACGTCACAGAGATGGTCGTTGGTCATTTTGGTTCTCAATCTGCTTTTGTTCAGCGTCATCAGAGAAAATGTTTGTTCACGTAAGTATGTTGAGCCGAACAGACTCATCATTCTTTTTGCGTGGCGTCTCATCAGAGGAAACTTGGCTTCTTCCAAGCTCCTTTAGAAGTCAGGTAAGGAGAGAAGTTGATGTTGATTCTTCAGAGAATCATCACACTGCATTTCTATAAGTTCTAATTGCAGACTCTCTTCCACTTCTTCTGCATTTATCATGAAGGGAGTCGCGATTTCGTTCTCGATGGTAGAAAAATCTTGGAGGCGCTGAGAAAATTCTGTCATGAGAGATGTGATCACAGACACACATTTGCCCTTTTTATCAGAGAGATCGGCCTTTGGAAACGCAGATCTGATTTCGGACAGTGTGGGGAAGTGCGCAACATTGAAGGTGCGCAACTGTGCCTCAAACAGTCGGAGCTTCACACAGAATGCTTTCATGTGTGCGTGAAGCTGCGGTACGAGTTGGTCTTTGCCTTGTAGGTTTTTCTTGAGTGTGTTGAGGTGTTCAGTGAGATCGACTAAAAACGCCAGGTCTGCCAACTATAGAGGGTCACTCAGCTCGTGCAGAGGTCGGTCCTTTTCTTTCAAAAACTGGTCGATCTCTGGTCTCAGAGAATAAAACCGCCGAAGCACGGAGCCACGACTTATCCAGCACGCTTCTGAATGGTAGAGCAGGTCCCCATATTCAGCATCAACGTCAGTTAAGAAAGTTTGAAATTCTCTGTGGTAGAGTGCTCGTACTCGAATTATGTTTACTGTTTTCACAACAGTGTTCATCACATCGCTAAGCTGTACTGTCTTGGCACAGAGTGCTTCTTGGTGTATGATACAGTGCATTTTAACTGCCTCCCCTCCGCTCTCCTGCACCTTGGCGTACACCATAGAGGCCATTCCTTTGCGCTCACCTGTCATAGCTGGAGCTCCATCCATTGTAACTCCACATAACTTGTCCCATTTAAGTCCTATCTTGTCATATGCGGGCCATATTCTGGTATATTTTTGGAATTTGCTGCGGGCCAATTAAAAATGGATCGCGGGCCGCAGTTGGCCTGCGGGCCATAGTTTGGACACCCCTGATCTAATCTAATATTTGCTCCTGTAATGCAGATGGCATCTGTATTGTGTATGGTGAAGTTGGAGCAAGTCAAACTCTGTGTAAAACATACTCAGCATGGTTTATTGCTAGAAGGAAGGGGAAGTTGTAAGCAGACACTACATGTATGACTGGGTAAGTTAGCTAGCTAATTGATTAGCTTTTTTGTTTGGCAAATTAATGCATTACAGAGCTCAGTATTCACCTGATAAAGGTAGAATATGCAGTTTGTATTGGCCTCTGGTTTTAAATCTCTCTGATTAATAATGGTGCAATTCTTGTGGCTGTGAAACAAAAACAAAGGGAAGGATTACATACCTCATCTGTCACCTGAGGAAACATCTGAACCACATGGTCCTAATATTAATTTTGACATTCTGTACTTAAATCAACCTACCAGATGTGTGAATTGTGGTTCTCCGCTATTATTTTTAATGCTGTTTATCACCAACCGCATATGTCCTAGAAACAGTGCAGCTATGCGGATGAGCAATCACATTCTTTTGGTAACAAAACAACCCTTCTGAGACCGTCTGAGCAAGGTGGTCTCATGCTGCTTTCAAGTCCTGTTGGAAATATTGTAATTACGAAGTAAACGCACATGAACACCACCGCAATGTCATAATTACAACTCAGGAACTCTTACTTGGGGCCAAGCACTGAAGGCACATAGGCTCCCTATAGTGATTGAATGTTTTCTTGTTATTATTAGGGGTCCAAGCACAAAGCACTTGTAACCCTCTTAATTTGTTAGGTTGTCCAAGCCCCAAAGCAATGTTGTGGCCTACCATGTGTGCACAGCATACAAAGGCTTTCATGCTAGACATTTAAAAACATAGGCTCTGAAACCTGATATTTTAACAGATGTCTCAACTCCTTTGGTCTGTAGAAGAAATTGTGCGTTTTTATTGTTAAATTTTTAGGAACTTTTTTTCATTAGTATATTTTTGCTAATATAAAGTTAAATAATAATAGTAAAGTTAAAGTAACAATGAAACACCTATGTTAATGCATAATCTGATTGTTTACAAGCACTACAAAGATCTCAGTCTGTAAAATAATAAAAAAAAATTGATTTTAGGTCAAGCAGAGTTATCATTCTTCAACTGCTTGACCTAAAATCCTTGAGGAAAATTCCTTGGAGACTGCTGCTTTGAAGTCATGTGTTGCTTTTGAAAGTCATGTGTTGCTTTTGTGTTGCTTTTCTGCAATGTAATATAGCATAATGTGTAATATTTTTTCTTCTTAATGTAAGGTGGTGCTATGTAGTGCTGGAATTAGGTACCAAGGGTGACTGTAGTGCCCAT